AAAAAAAAAATCTATTAACTTGTAATCTCATTAAAAGCTGCTTCTAGGGAGAGATTAATGAAAAATTTTATGGAAATTTTCTGTTCCTTCTAACAAGAGAACCTTGGAAGTGAAAGCTCTGCCAGCTGCGGGTAGTAAAGGGCTCTAAGGTAAACCTTTCATCTTCCCTTTTCCAGGAAACAGTTGTTTCTGCGGAACTGCTTGCTCTTGGGACTGGGACACACTTAGAAAGCAGGAGTAGAATGGGCAGCTTCAACCTCACAGCCTTTCACACTTATGAAGGTGTTCATCTTCCCTGGAAGGGGCTTCCAATGGTATTCTTACTTTGTGCCTGCTCCTTCTTGACCCATGAAAAATGTCAGGACAGCCCCCATGTCTGTTGATTTCAGCAAAGCTTCACTGACTCTGACCTAGAAGATTTTGGCCTTTACAGAATACTAAGCACAGTTCAAAACTGAAGGAATATCTACAGTATAAAACATAAAATGGTTCAGTGCAGTCAGGAATGTTGACTACTTACCTTCCTGTTTCACCTACCTTCATATATAACTTTAAAGTTAATGAATATGCAACTAATAAGTCTGCAGCCACTATTCCCTTTTAAAAAAGATTCAAAAATGTCATTTTGTGGATTTGTATAAAATTACATAACTTGCTCTCTGGAGACTCCAGCCCTTTGATTTTTCACATTGATACGAACTGGACTGTGTTGTCAAAAATCCTGCTTAACAGAACATGAGAATCTATTCCCATGTTCTGATAGATATAAATAAGAATTTAACTCTTCCTATTTTAATGAGCCAAATTAGAGAAAAAACTCCTAACACTGGTCTGTAGCAAGGGAAACACTAGCCAGTCCAGGGTATGTTGCCCCTCTCTTTTTAAGCTTTTGACCTCTTGGGTCAGAAGTGGCACCCCTGAGCCAACATATTCTAAACAATCTAAAATTTTTCCTCTTCTTTTTTCTCTGTGCCTTAAATATTAGCTTTAATAAGAACACTGATAACTTTTTAAATTAGTTTTTTATTATGGAAAATGTCAAACACACAAAAGTAGAGAGAAACATATAATGAACCATCATTTAGCCATCACCCAGCTTCAACCATTATCAAGTCAGGCCAATCTTATTTCATCAATATCTCCCAACACATTTAACATCCAGTCTTATTATTTTGAAGCAAATTCCAGACATCATTTCAACTGTAAATGTTTGAGAATATGTCTTTAAAAGATAACAACTCTTTTGTTTTCAACATAACCACAACACCATTATCCTAACTAATATCAAATATCAAGTCAATTTTCAAATTATCCAGGTTGCCTTATAAATGTATTTTAGTTTGGTCAAATCAGGGTCCAAAAAAGATCCATGTTACAATTGGTTCATATGTCTCTTAAGTCTCTTTTAATCTATAGGTTCATCCTCCCATTTCTTTCATCCAGGCCATTCATTTACTGAAGAAACTGGGTCACCTGTCCTGTAGAATTTTCTACAGTCTGGATTCTGCTGATATCATCTCTCTGGTGTATGTTTCTCTGTTCCCTGTATTTTCTATAGATTAGGATTTATAGCTAGAGGCACAGTTAGATTTAAGTCTAAAATATTGGCAAATATATTTGATAGGTGGTATAGTATATAATACCATCAGGAGGCACATAATATCACAGAATTTTTGCTTTCTGATATCTCACAGATGCCTTGAAACACTTGACACCTGATGTACAAAAGCCACATGTGTGTTAGAGAGAGCATTTATTGTACTAACACCCAATTAGAAGGTGAAAGCTTTACCACTCAGTGTCATTATAAAATATTATTTAGACAAATCTTCAGTGATGTCTACATTTCAAGTGATATCTTGTATGCTAGATATATAAAAAGACTAAGGAAATAAGGCCCTTGCACTCAAGGCCATTTAAACTGGTGGGAAATACAGACACAATCATAAAAGCACAGAAAAGGCCATAAGTGCCAAATTAGAAATCTGTACAGATACAGTGGTAGTGCAACAGCTTGGAAAATTGTCATTGTAATAAACAGGGGAGAAGTGTCCAAAAGCATAGGATGAGCTGCGTTCTTGATAGTATGAGTTGTGCTTCACAATTCCATTCATCACTGGGTATACATACTTGATTCTTTCAAAGTAAATCTGAAAAAAAAACTATCATTAATAGTTTTATTGGTTCATCAATTCCTCTAGTCAGCAAATGTTTATTGATGGTCTACTATGGTTCATTAGCCACTTTTTACTGGAAAAGCCATCAGCGAATTATCCAATGCAGTTCCGCTGAGAGGCCAGATGAGAGCCTGAGGGAGTAACATTGTCTCAGCTAACATCTGAAGCTAAGAAATCAAGAATACACTAGTAGTAGATACTTCTAATCTCTGGATCAATGACAAATGTCTCCAAAGTTTAGCCACTGTTCTCGCCACTGAGGATATTAGCAGGAATCAGGCTGGGTCCTAGTCCTCAGAGTTCATAGTCTAACAGGCCAACAGTCATTCAAAAGAATGATTACAATGCTAGAATGATGCTGAAAATATTTCCTGTTTTGCTTGATGCTTCCACAAAAGGAACCCCGAAAAAGAAAACTCTGGCCAGCTGTTAGTACAGTAGTCTCTACAGCCACACTTTCACCTCCCTTTTCTCAGTAAACAACTATTGATGGAGGAATTGCTCTTTCTTACAATTGAACTCCAATGAATGGGAAGTGAGAGGGGCAGCTCTAGCTTCAGAGCCCTATAAACCTTCTGTCCCAGAAGATGTCTCTAATGTTGCTGGTACTTTACAAGCTGCCTATTTCTACTCTTACACACACCCCCCTAATAGTTATTTGATGTTTCTAAATATAAAACTGTTGAAATTTTTACAATTTTCTCAAATGAAAATTTACTCCAACACATCTTCTTAAAACTTATTTTAAGAATAAGAACAGGCAGTTGTACAGTTGGGGGGAAAACAGCCTCTAAAATAAAGTGCTGAAAACAAATTTCTATCTCATGTCTGGAAGCATTGTCTTTGATCAATGTACTGTTTTCTGGGAGGGGTATAAGCTGAAAGATTCACCTGTACATTTTTAGTGCAATTACCACATAAGCAATGCATGGGTCTATGCAATGACTATGTAAGCAGAAAACCCCAACTGTCTATTAAATTCTTGGAGGACATCTGGTTATATATAAAACAGATATGTCAACTTAGTCTGAAGTTTTTTGATTTCTCTTTCAAAATGAAAGTCTTTTTGTTTTTCTTTTTTAAATTTAATTTTTTTAGACTGAACTCCAGAAGCATATATACCAAGAATTGCCTGTGTGAATTTGAAAACTTAACTTAGTGTGATAATTGTAAAATATTATGTTGTGATTTAGAAATGAAAACCACAGAGGTTTTACAAATTGCATAAATTGAAGATATTTTGGCAATCCAAATATTTCTGAATAAAATACAGTAAATACTTACAGGCTAACCACTCTTTAAGTGTTGATAAACATCAACACTAATACTTTTCACATTTGTCAAATACATAGTATAAAAGTCAAAACATAAGGTTTTGCTTTATTATCTCTAAGAATGCCATGTATAAATTAAACCTCCCAAATATTTGTGGCAGCATTTTAGATGGAGGCAGTTTTATGTATGAAATAGTCGCAAAGCAATAATTCATTTTCTCTGAAGTTAGTATATATGTACTTTGAAAAATCTCAGGTTACTGAGAATATCTATCAGTCGACTTGGATTGTTGGACTAAAAAAGGTCAACTTTTAGAAATTAGAAAGTTTTTTTTTTAAAAAAAGACTTCTTTCTGTACAAAGAAACAGATAGTTTTTTTAAAATGGTCACCTGAGGATATGTTTATTGATTTTAGAGAGAGGAAGGGAGAGAGAAACATTGATGTGAGAAACATCACTGGTTGCTTCCTGTATACGCCCCGACCAGGGATCGAACCCACAACCTAGCTATGTGCCCTGACCAGGAATCAAGCTTGCAACTTTTTGGTGTACAGGACAACATTCAACCAACTGAGCCAGCAGGTCAGGGTGAAGAAACAGGTAAATTTTGAAAAACATTTGATTATTCTGCATAATTTAGAATATGAAATTACATAACTGACTTTTAAAAGCTATTCATTTTTATACCACTCATTCCTTTGATAACAGTTAATTATTGTTAACTACAATATGTACTTTATTTGGACATTTATATAGGGACAGATTTTTTTTTTTTATCCTCACCTGAGGATATTTTCCATTGCTTTTCAGAGAGAGTGGAGAGGAGAGAGAAAGAGAGAGAGAGAGAGAGAGAGAGAGAGAGAGATTGGTTGCCTCCTGCATGCACCCCAAGCCTGCAACCCAGGCACTTGCAATTGGCTGGAAATGAACCCAGGACACTTCAGTCCATAGGCCAACACTCTCATTACTGAGCCAACCCAGCCAGGGCTATGGAAAAATCTTATTTTAAAAATAAATTTTTAAAAAATTTCAATTCTACCAAGTATTTTATTCTCTTTAAAAGGTTAATCTGTAGAATAACAAAGTGAATTCCAGTTATCCAGTTATATTCATTATTGTTCTGTAGAATAATTTTTTATAAGCTGATTTAATTTTTTAAAATTTATTTTACTGTTGAAAATATTACAGATGCTCCCATTTTCTCCCCTTTACCCCTTTCCTCCCATCTCCCACCCCTCCCCAGTTCTTCCCCTGTCTATTGTCTGTGTCCATGGGCTGTGCATATATGCTTGTAATTTTTTGGTCAATCTCTTCCTGTCCACCCAATACTTTTAAGATTTCATGTTTTATGTACAAAAATACCCCCGCCCATTCTCTCTTAACAAAGTATGCCTTTCTTCAACCTTTGAAGAGAAGTTGAACAGTATCAAGAGGGATCTACACTTTCAAAATTTCTTAATACAGAATGCATAAGTGTTCTTTCAAAAAGATGACTGATAACTTAATCAGTAATAATTAAAAGACAGGATATATTCTAGGTTGCCCTAAAAATTAGGAATGGGTCCAGCTGGGCGTGGCTCATTGCTTGAACACTGACCTAGAATCCAAGAGATCCTGGTTTGATTCCAGGTCAGGGCACATACCCGGGTTGCAGGCTCGATCCCCAGTTGGGGGTGTACAGGAGGCAGCCAATCAATGACGACTCTCTCATCATTGATGTTTCCATCTCTCTTCCTCTCTCTGAAATCAATGAATACTTACTTTAAAAAAAATTAGGAATGGGTTTTCCACCCCCAATACCCACTTGAGGAAGTAGGACATCGGTGGGTGAAAGAGATGAAGTTCCAGAAGAGAGATCTAAGTATTTCAGATGAGAGTGCTGATGACAAGCAAGTACAGAGGCAAATGTAAGAGTTTTTAATTCATCACTCCAAATAGATTGTCACGTGAGACAAAATGTTTATTCTAAATCTTTAGGAGAGATTGGTCAGGTGTCCCACCACTTTCAAAGTCTGTAATGGCTGAATATCAAGAAAGGTACCTCACTCAGTTGGGATGTGATCAGCATACAGATCCCATTCCTGTGGTTACTCATAGTCAGGAAGTTTAACTGGAACATTGCTAAATTCAAATATCTGAAATAACTTTTTAAAAAAACTAGTTTATGTTGAGAAAACCATGGTTGTTCTAAGGGTCCTGAGACAGGGGCAGAGGGTGTTGGAAGCTGAGCATGCTACATCATGCTCTACGAATACTTTTCCCGATAAGATATATGGATGTGTTTGGCTACCAATACCTTCCTGAGAAATATCTACTCTATAAAGTAATATTTTGTTACACTACATTTGGGCTACACGGGGAATGGCCATTTCAAGTAAGCAGTCAAAACCTAGCAGTGTTTGGCTCAGTGGTTAGAGCCTCAGC